ATCGACGCTGTCAATGTGTGGGAGTACAAATAAATACTGTTATAAAGATAGATCTTTTACTGTGTGTATTAATGAATTAACGGTAATACTCAAGTCTCAAATCGTCGTATTTGTATTTTTTGTCGATACAAATGTTTAATAACCAGTTGTTTTTATTGTATGCAACACTATCATAAAAACGAATAACAAACTGCTTAATAAATACCTACTGACTATATCTGACAATGAAATAATTTATATCTATTAACTCCTAATTTTTTGGCTTGAGCGGTATATAGAACAAAAAATATCATAATCATATGTGACGTTTTCCAAATTATTGATGAAAGCAAATGGCAGCGATGGTGGTAGAACAGATTTCATGTTGACTCCCCGCACATCCGATGTACTCTTTACTGGATATTATAATTATTTCTCACGATGATTGACTTAATGCACTGTTATGGCCGGTAAATAAAATCCCAGGGTTACTTCACTGGTTTAATTTCTTGATAGTTACAACTTGCTGACCGTACTGAACTACTGAACTGAATATATAATACTGTACTGCGTAGGAATATACTGAACTGGTACTGGAATAATTTTTCATTATTATTATCGGGTCGTCCGCTGATCCTTTATATGGACCGCTGGGTACGGGCCCCGAGCTTACGCTCCTTACCCGGGCATACTGCTGGGGTATACCACCCCAGCGTCGTTCGTTTACCGGCCGGCCTGCCGGCCGGCCGGAAGCCGGCTGCTTCCCAGCAGCCGGCTGAGGGAGTCGTGTAAGAGGACTATAAGTCGCTCGCCGAGCCGGCTTAACGCCGCCACGTCACGTAAATGACGTGATCACTCGGTGGAGAGTAAGTCGCGCGGGAGCGCGCGAGTGGCGTCCGGTGGGCGCGCGTGGAGAGGGGCGAGGTCGCGCAGGTGCGCTTCGCGCTGGCCGCTGTCCGCGCGCGAGAACATCGCGCGCGTCAACCGGACGACGAACTGCTCCACCGATGGGACCTTGAGGTCGCGGGCGATCACGTCATTACGGACGTACCGTCCGGCATTTGTGCACAGACGGAGGGCGGCGTTCTGTTGGACCTGCAGTCTCCGCCGCTGTGAGGCCGAGCACAGTGCGTACCATGCGGGGGCGGCATATGTGAGCCGCGAACGAATGTAGGTCTTATAAATGCCTACTTTCGTCCGCAGCTGCAGCCTGGATTGCAAGACCGGTCGCAGCATAGCGCGCGCAGCCTTGGCTTGGGTAACAGCCCGGTCCACCTGCGGCGTCATACGCAGCGACCGGTCGATTTCCACCCCTAGGTAACGCACTGTGCGCTCCCACTGGATGGGCTGGCCTCTCAGTAAGAGGGGCGGCGGGCATTTGCACCCGGGGCGGGTAAGCAGCGCCACCGTTTTACCCACGTTAACGGTGGTACGCCACTTATCCAGCCACTCGGGGAGCAGGTCCAACAGCCGCTGCATTTTGCGAGCGGCTGCGTAGGCTCGGCGAGACGACGTAAGAAAGGCACTGTCGTCGGCGAAAAGAGCGAGGACGACATCCCTCTCTCCCTCTCGGAGCTCATCCCTCAAGGTGGGGATGTCGTCTGTGTACGTCGCGTAGAGCGCTGGCGAAATGCAGCTGCCCTGCGGGACTCCGGCGGCAATTGGGCGTGTGGTAGAATCACAGTTCTCGACCGAAACATAGAAGCTCCGGCCCGAGAGGAACGAGTCCACTACTCGCACGTATGCTGACGGCGTGTTGGTGTCGAGCAACTTCGACACCAAACCGTCGTGCCACACACGGTCGAACGCCTTCTCTATATCGAGAAATACGCCGACCGTGTAGTGGCCGCGGTTGTGCTCGACAGCCATATGGTGGAGCACGCGCGTCAGCTGCAAAGTCGTCGAGTGTCCGCCTCTGAAACCGAACTGCTCGTCGCGAGGCGACAGAGTCGGTCTCAGGCGGCGGAGCAGAAGGCGCTCGAACGACTTTGCTACGTGCGAGAGCAGAGTGATGGGCCGGTAGCTTGCCGGCAGGCGCTTGTCCTTGCCGGGTTTCGGGAGGACTATGACTCTACCCAACTTCCAGTTGGTAGGGAAGTGGCCGGTCCGGAGTATGCCGTTGTAGAGCCTCGCTAGACACGCTAGGGCTCTACGGGGCAGCTGTGCGAGCGCTGCGGTGCTGATCCCGTCCGCTCCGGGCGCTTTGCGCTTCGGCAGGCGGCTGACGAGCCGCATTACCTCGCCGGGCGAAACGAAGCTCACTTCGTTTACGTCCGGCGACGGAGCGGTACGGAAATCGCATACGCGACGTACGACTCGCTCGTGGTGCTCGACGACAGTGCTGGGTGCGTCGGCGGCTATTGGATTGGCCGTGAATTGCCCCTCCAAGTGCTGTGCCAGGATTTCTGCCCGGTCTTGGGCTGCGTAACGACGTCTGCCCGTCTCGTCAAGCAACGGGCAGACGGGGTCGTGCATTGGTGAGCTGTCGATTGAGTTTGTGCAGGTCGGTATCGTGTTCGCCGGCCCGGGATATGACACCCTCCCAGGCGGCCCCACGCCAATCCCGCACTCCCTCCGACAGCTCTGCAGCCAGGCAGTTGAGCTCACGCTTGACCCGCGGGCAGCGGGTTCGGGCCCATAGGCGACGGAGGTTCTTTTTCCGGGCGAGTTTTTCGCGCAGATGGTGTGGCAATTCCTCTCGACGGCGAGAAGCCACGTTTATTGTGGTAGTTGCCGCCTCCACTGCGGTGCGGATTCGCTCCGTTATGAGTGTGGAGGCGGCTTCGACACCCGCTGGCGATGATAGTTCGCCGTCGAGGTGTAGATGCTCCAATTCTGCGCGAAAAACACGCCAATCCATCCGCCGCCTCGACGGTCTCGTCGGTGTGGTGGTGGTGGAGAGGTCAAGCGTGGCTAGAACTGGGAGGTGCTGAGTGTCAAGGTCGTACAGCACCTCCAGTAAGACCGGGCAAGGCACAGCCTGCACTAGGGCAATGTCCAGAACGTCTGGGCTATGTGTGGGATTTGAGGGTACGTGGGTTGGGTGCGCTGGGCCCAACACCTCGTACCCGTGGATCTGCGAATCCTGGAGGAGTCTTCGACCTATCGGCGAGCACAGACGGGAACCCCAAGCCGTGTGCTTCGCGTTTAGGTCGCCCATAAGTAGGGTGGGACTCCTCCCATCCAGAACGTTCCGGACATCGGAGGGGCTGAAATCCAGTCCCGGGGGACGGTAAGCTGCCAGGACCTTCAGTTCCGCGCCGTCGACGTTGATGCTGACTCCTATGGAGCGCATGACGCGGAACTCGGGGCGCTCTAACTCCACGTGGACTACGTCCCGACGGACTAGTACCGCCGTACCGCGGTACGCAATGCCCGCCGGTGACGTTTCGTCGCGTCTATACACGTGGTAGTTAGGCACCCTCAACGTCTCCTTTTCTGTGAGCTTCGTTTCACCCAGGAGTATGATGTGCACATCCTGGGTGCGAGCGAGGAGACGGAGGTCCTGGACTTTATCCTTTATTCCCCCGGGGTTCCAGTACACAATGCGCAGGCTAGTACCCGCCATTTGTGTACTGTTGGATTTTGGCCAATCCATTTAATGCCGCCGACTTAGTATCTGCGCCGGCCGCGAGCGTAGTAAGCAGCTCCGTCAACAGGCTAATAAGCATGTTCAGTGCTCTGTCGACGGGCGCTTGTGTGAAGGGGGCGGGTGCGGTGTATATCGTTCGCGCCTCTGGGTGTGCGGTCCGTGTGGGGGCGCAGGAGGTGCGCGCGTCTTGCGTCCGCCTGTGGCGGCTCGAATGCCACTCTCGGCACGCTATGTGCCGGTGGCGCCGCCCGGCGGCGACGTGGCGCAACTCGTGGACCCTGTGTTGGGACGGCATGCGTGGGAAGGCCCCACCCTTCCGGTGCGATGTACGCATAGCTTGGAGGGGTGGGATCCGGTAAGAAGGGGATTGGAGTTGAGGCCGTAACTGGCCCATCACCGCGCCTCTTCTTGCCGCGTCTTCGGCGGCGGCGTCTTTTATTTTCACCGGTGTCGGTGCCGCGATGCGTCGGCTCGTTGGCCGGCGCCATTAGGTTGGCGCCGGCTGTTTCCTCGACCGTTATTACGGGAGGAGGGGCCTGGGCGACGTAGGTACGCGGCGCCGCGGTGGGTTTATTACGACGCTGTGTTTGCGCCACGGGCGTTTTTGTCGTCGCGGTAGGGACGGGGGCGGGGTTTGATGCCCCTCTGCCGTGCCTCCCTCTTATACACCGGGCATTTTCTGTCGTTGGCCGTATGTGCCTTGGCGCAGTTGGCGCATGTCGGTTTTTGGTCCCTCGGCCGTCGCAGTTCGCCGCCGGGTGCTCCCCACCGCAGCGAACGCATTTCACAGGCCGGTGACAATTGGCCGATGCATGGCCGAATGCCTGGCATCTGTGGCATTGTGGCAGCACCGATGCCGGCTTCCACGCCTCAACGACGACGCCCCGCATGTACAGGAGCTCATCAGTCGCGTACAAGCGTGTGAGCTCGTCCCTGTCCATGGGGTCGAGTTGGGCGTGGAAAATGCAGCCGGGGCGGCCGCGACGCGCGGGTATGCCCCGCACTAGCCGCACTCCGAACCCCTTCTCCTGCAGTGCCTCCGCAATCTTGTCATTGGGCGTGTCGGCTGGGAGTCCTCTTATCGCCACCTTAGTGGGCAGTTCGGAGGCCAGACTATAAAAGTACCAACTTATTGTTGGGTCCTTTTCGCTGGCCTCTATTAAATACCTTTGGACGGCACGGAATTCTTCGTCCGTCCTAGGCAGGAATCTGACCCCCGTGCCGTAGGGTCTTGCGTTGGGTGCCTCCCCCAGTACGCGCCTGAGCTGGTCGAAGTGGCGCGTCCAGTTAGGGAGGCGTTCTGCCACTATGGGGGGGTATTTTCCTCGCCCTGTGGCGGGTTCTATGCCTGTATCGGCGACCTTGCTCTGTGAGGGCATTTGCGGGGCTGGAGCCGTGGTGGCGGGGGTCGGGGTGGCGGGGCCTGCCACTACTGCCGCAAAGGACGGCGGGGTTCGTCGTCGCGGCGAGGGGACGGGGGGAGCATCGGCTCGGGCGATTGTGGCACCGGTTCGAGTGCCGCATATGACGTGGCGTCATACTCGCCCCTATCTAGCGTATAGGAGCGAGGTAGCGGCGAGGGCACACGCGAGGGTGCTGGCGAAGGCTCAGGCGAGGTCGCAGGCGACGCATGTACGTCGCCGTACAAACGCCTGTCTTCCTCTTCCTCCTCGCTCCCGCTATCCGGCGGGGGGGAGGGTGAGCGCGGAGGGGGTGAGGGCTTTCGCCGCACGGTACCCGACTGGGACGGTAGGGGTTGGTAGCCCTTGTCCACGAGCCGGATTCTCGGCGTCGGCGGCGCCTTCACTAGGTCGAGGTCGCGGGGGGGGGACTCCTCTACGTCCCTCCGTTTGTCGCCTCTAGCGGGCGAGGTCGGCGACGGCGGTGCGCGTCTTTAGATGGGCCAGGTTGCGCGCATCTTTCCCCTCTGCCTGGTTCCCGGTCGGCGGCATCATTGCCGCTTCCCGCGAGGGCAGAGGGGGTGCCCTTGGATGCCGGGCGAGCGTGGAAGGTCCCCAGCTCAGTGGCGGGGACCAGCTTGGTCGGGTTCCTTAAATCCCGACGCACAACAGTTCGGGGAGCTCCCCTGTCAGGAGGTTTCCTGGGGGCTTTGCCCCTTTGCGACATTACGACACGAAAGGGTGATGTACTAGGAAAGGGGACTGGAGGGGTGGGAGAGGGTGGTGTGGGGGCTGGAACCCCACGACGAACCTACCGAAAGGTAGGGAATTCCGCCCTGAAAGGGCAGGTGATCGCACTGTAAGACAGTCGCAAGTGGATTGCAGCAACGAATTTGCGTCAGCAAATTCGGTCTACAATCCTAGCGCGTTCTCTCACTAAACAAAGTACACTTTGTGTAGTTGGATTACGCACTGTATCGCTCTCAACAATTTGCGCAAGTGGGCACCAGTTGCGGGGCTCACTCTGGAGACTCGACGGCGAACCGGAGTCTCACAGAGGATCACACGACCAACGGTAAACTCAACAAGCAACAAACTGGAAAGCGAGCCAATTTTTCATATTTATTATCGGGTCGTCCGCTGATCCTTTATATGGACCGCTGGGTACGGGCCCCGAGCTTACGCTCTTTACCCGGGCATACTGCTGGGGTATACCACCCCAGCGTCGTTCGTTTACCGGCCGGCCTGCCGGCCGGCCGGAAGCCGGCTGCTTCCCAGCAGCCGGCTGAGGGAGTCGTGTAAGAGGACTCTATAAGTCGCTCGCCGAGCCGGCTTAACGCCGCCACGTCACGTAAATGACGTGATCACTCGGTGGAGAGTAAGTCGCGCGGGAGCGCGCGAGTGGCGTCCGGTGGGCGCGCGTGGAGAGGGGCGAGGTCGCGCAGGTGCGCTTCGCGCCCGCTGTCCGCGCGCGAGAACATCGCGCGCGTCAACCGGACGACGAACTGCTCCACCGATGGGACCTTGAGGTCGCGGGCGATCACGTCATTACGGACGTACCGTCCGGCATTTGTGCACAGACGGAGGGCGGCGTTCTGTTGGACCTGCAGTCTCCGCCGCTGTGAGGCCGAGCACAGTGCGTACCATGCGGGGGCGGCATATGTGAGCCGCGAACGAATGTAGGTCTTATAAATGCCTACTTTCGTCCGCAGCTGCAGCCTGGATTGCAAGACCGGTCGCAGCATAGCGCGCGCAGCCTTGGCTTGGGTAACAGCCCGGTCCACCTGCGGCGTCATACGCAGCGACCGGTCGATTTCCACCCCTAGGTAACGCACTGTGCGCTCCCACTGGATGGGCTGGCCTCTCAGTAAGAGGGGCGGCGGGCATTTGCACCCGGGGCGGGTAAGCAGCGCCACCGTTTTACCCACGTTAACGGTGGTACGCCACTTATCCAGCCACTCGGGGAGCAGGTCCAACAGCCGCTGCATTTTGCGAGCGGCTGCGTAGGCTCGGCGAGACGACGTAAGAAAGGCACTGTCGTCGGCGAAAAGAGCGAGGACGACATCCCTCTCTCCCTCTCGGAGCTCATCCCTCAAGGTGGGGATGTCGTCTGTGTACGTCGCGTAGAGCGCTGGCGAAATGCAGCTGCCCTGCGGGACTCCGGCGGCAATTGGGCGTGTGGTAGAATCACAGTTCTCGACCGAAACATAGAAGCTCCGGCCCGAGAGGAACGAGTCCACTACTCGCACGTATGCTGACGGCGTGTTGGTGTCGAGCAACTTCGACACCAAACCGTCGTGCCACACACGGTCGAACGCCTTCTCTATATCGAGAAATACGCCGACCGTGTAGTGGCCGCGGTTGTGCTCGACAGCCATATGGTGGAGCACGCGCGTCAGCTGCAAAGTCGTCGAGTGTCCGCCTCTGAAACCGAACTGCTCGTCGCGAGGCGACAGAGTCGGTCTCAGGCGGCGGAGCAGGAGGCGCTCGAACGACTTTGCTACGTGCGAGAGCAGAGTGATGGGCCGGTAGCTTGCCGGCAGGCGCTTGTCCTTGCCGGGTTTCGGGAGGACTATGACTCTACCCAACTTCCAGTTGGTAGGGAAGTGGCCGGTCCGGAGTATGCCGTTGTAGAGCCTCGCTAGACACGCTAGGGCTCTACGGGGCAGCTGTGCGAGCGCTGCGGTGCTGATCCCGTCCGCTCCGGGCGCTTTGCGCTTCGGCAGGCGGCTGACGAGCCGCCTTACCTCGCCGGGCGAAACGAAGCTCACTTCGTTTACGTCCGGCGACGGAGCGGTACGGAAATCGCATACGCGACGTACGACTCGCTCGTGGTGCTCGACGACAGTGCTGGGTGCGTCGGCGGCGATTGGATTGGCCGTGAATTGCCCCTCCAAGTGCTGTGCCAGGATTTCTGCCCGGTCTTGGGCTGCGTAACGACGTCTGCCCGTCTCGTCAAGCAACGGGCAGACGGGGGGTCGTGCATTGGTGAGCTGTCGATTGAGTTTGTGCAGGTCGGTATCGTGTTCGCCGGCCCGGGATATGACACCCTCCCAGGCGGCTCCACGCCAATCCCGCACTCCCTCCGACAGCTCTGCAGCCAGGCAGTTGAGCTCACGCTTGACCCGCGGGCAGCGGGTTCGGGCCCATAGGCGACGGAGGTTCTTTTTCCGGGCGAGTTTTTCGCGCAGATGGTGTGGCAATTCCTCTCGACGGCGAGAAGCCACGTTTATTGTGGTAGTTGCCGCCTCTACGGCGGTGCGAATTCGCTCCGTTAGGAGTGTAGAGGCGGCTTCGACACCCGCTGGCGATGATAGTTCGCCGTCGAGGTGTAGATGCTCCAATTCTGCGCGAAAAACACGCCAATCCATCCGCCGCCTCGACGGTCTCGTCGGTGTGGTGGTGGTGGAGAGGTCAAGCGTGGCTAGAACTGGGAGGTGCTGCGTGTCAAGGTCGTACAGCACCTCCAGTAAGACCGGGCAAGGCACAGCCTGCACTAGGGCAATGTCCAGAACGTCTGGGCTATGTGTGGGATTTGAGGGTACGTGGGTTGGGTGCGCTGGGCCCAACACCTCGTACCCGTGGATCTGCGAATCCTGGAGGAGTCTTCGACCTATCGGCGAGCACAGACGGGAACCTCAAGCCGTGTGCTTCGCGTTTAGGTCGCCCATAAGCAGGGTGGGACTCCTCCCATCCAGAACGTTCCGGACATCGGAGGGGCTGAATTCCAGTCCCGGGGGACGGTAAGCTGCCAGGACCTTCAGTTCCGCGCCGTCGACGTTGATGCTGACTCCTATGGAGCGCATGACGCGGAACTCGGGGCGCTCTAACTCCACGTGGACTACGTCCCGACGGACTAGTACCGCCGTACCGCGGTACGCAATGCCCGCCGGTGACGTTTCGTCGCGTCTATACACGTGGTAGTTAGGCACCCTCAACGTCTCCTTTTCTGTGAGCTTCTTTTCACCCAGGAGTATGATGTGCACATCCTGGGTGCGAGCTAGGAGACGGAGGTCCTGGACTTTATCCTTTATTCCCCCGGGGTTCCAGTACACAATGCGCAGGCTAGTACACGCCATTTGTGTACTGTTGGATTTTGGCCAATCCATTTAATGCCGCCGACTTTGTGTCCGCGCCGGCCGCGAGCGTAGTTAGCAGCTCCGTCAACAGGCTAATAAGCATGTTCAGTGCTCTGTCGACGGGCGCTTGTGTGAAGGGCGCGGGCGCGGCGTGTGCCGAACGCGGCGCGGGGTATGCGGTGTATGTGGGAGGCGCGGGAGGTGCGCGTCTTACGTCCGCCAAAAGCGGCTTGAATGCCACTCTCGGCACAGTGTGTGCCGGTGGCGCCGCCTGGCGGCGACGTGGCGCTGCACGCGGGCCCTGATTTGGGACGGCATGCATGGGAAGGGTGGGGGGTGCGTTGTACGCAAATATTGGGGTGGGATCAGGTAGGAAGGGGATTGGGGTTGATGCCGTCACGGGGTCATCTCCGCGCCTCTTCTTGCCGCGTCTTCGGCGGCGGCGCTTTTTAGTTACACCGTCGTCGGCGCCTCGTTGCGTCGGTTCGTTAGCCGGCGCCATTAGGTTGGCGCCAGCGGTTTCCTCGACCGTTATTACGGGAGGGGGAGCCTGGGCGACGTATGTACGAGGCGCCGCGGTGGGATTGTTGCGCCGCCGTTGCTGCGCCGTGGGCGCCGTCGACGTCGCAGTGGGGACGGGGGGACGGGGTTTGATTCCCCTCTGCCGGGCCTCTCTTTTATAAACCGGGCACTTCCGGTCGTTGGCGGTGTGTGGCTTTGCGCAATTGGCACAGGTCGGCTTTTGGTCACGCGGCCTGTCGCAGTTCGCCGCCGGGTGCTCCCCACCACAGCGAACGCATTTTACAGGCCGGTGACAGTTGGCCGATGCATGGCCGAATGCCTGGCATCTGTGGCATTGTGGCAGCACCGATGCCGGCTTCCACGCCTCAACCACGACGCCCCGCATGTACAGGAGCTCATCAGTCGCGTACAAGCGTGTGAGCTCGTCCCTGTCCATGGGGTCGAGTTGGGCGTGGAAAATGCAGCCGGGGCGGCCGCGACGCGCGGGTATGCCCCGCACTAGCCGCACTCCGAACCCCTTCTCCTGCAGTGCCTCCACTATCCTCTCATTGGGAGTGTCGGCGGGGAGGCCCCGTATCGCCACCTTGGTGGGCAGTTCGGAGGCCAGACTATAAAAGTACCAACTTATTGTTGGGTCCTTTTCGCTGGCCTCTATCAAATACCTTTGGACGGCACGGAATTCTTCGTCCGTCCTAGGCAGGAATCTAACCCCAGTGCCGTAGGGTCTTGCGTTGGGTGCCTCCCCCAGTACGCGCCTGAGCTGGTCGAAGTGGCGCGTCCAGTTAGGGAGACGTTCTACCACTATTGGGGGGTATTTGCCTCGCCCTGTGGCGGGTTCTACGCCCGTGTCGGCGATCTTACCCTGTGAGGGCATTTGCGGGGCTGGAGCCGTGGTGGCGGGGGTTGGGGTGGCGGGGCCTGCCACTACTGCCGCAAAGGACGGCGGGGTTCGTCGTCGCGGCGAGGGGACGGGGGGGAGCATCGGCTCGGGCGATTGTGGCACCGATTCGAGTGCCGCATATGACGTGGCGTCATACTCGCCCCTATCTAGCGTATAGGAGCGAGGTAGCGGCGAGGGCACACGCGAGGGTGCTGGCGAAGGCTCAGGCGAGGTCGCAGGCGACGTATGTACGTCGCCGTAAAAACGCCTGTCTTCCCCTTCCTCCTCGCTCCCGCTATCCGGCGGGGGGGAGGGTGAGCGCGGAGGGGGTGAGGGCTTTCGCCGCACGGTACCCGACTGGGACGGTAGGGGTTGGTAGCCCTTGTCCACAAGCCGGATTCTCGGCGTCGGCGGCACCTTCACTAGGTCAAGGTCGCGGGGGGGGGACTCCTCTACGTCCCTCCGTTTGTCGCCTCTAGCGGGCGAGGTCGGCGACGGCGGTGCGCGTCTTTTAGACGGGCCGGGTTGTGCGCATCTTTCCCCTCTGCCTGGTTCCCGGTCGGCGGCATCATTGCCGCTTCCCGCGAGGGCAGAGGGGGTGCCCTTGGATGCCGGGCGAGCGTGGAAGGTCCCCAGCTCAGTGGCGGGGACCAGCTTGGTCGGGTTCCTTAAATCCCGACGCACAACAGTTCGGGGAGCTCCCCTGTCAGGAGGTTTCCTGGGGGCTTTGCCCCTTTGCGACATCACGACACGAAAGGGTGATGTACTAGGAAAGGGGACTGGAGGGGTGGAAGAGGGTGGTGTGGGGGCTGGAACCCCACGACGAACCTACCGAAAAGTAGGAAATTCCGCCCTGAAAGGGCAGGAGATCGCACTGTAAGACAGTCGCAAGTGGATTGCAGCGACGAATTTGCACCAACAAATTCGGTCTGCAATCCTAGCGCGTTCTCTTGCTAAACAAAGTACACTTTGTGTAGTTGGATTACGCACTGTATCGCTCTCAACAATTTGCGCAAGTGGGCACCAGTTGCGGGGCTCACTCTGGAGACTCGACGGCGAACCGGAATCTCACAGAGGATCACACGACCAACGGTAAACTCAGCAAGCAACAAATTGGAAAGCGACAATTTTTCATACAAATTTCGTTGGTTACGTATTCCGGAGGCAATACCTTATCGCGAGCTCCGTGTTTTTAGCTCGATTCTAAAGTTAATTTTCATTATGACTTTTGGAGTTTTTCGATGTTATTACCTCTGTAACACGTTTTCCCCCTTATAATTCTTATTTACATGTGAACTTCGCATAATTCCCTATCTAAAAAGTACACATACATAATCATTACAATAGTATTTCTTATAAATACAAGGTAAATTATCTCTAACTTACATCGATTTTCACATTTAACAATAGTGAAATACTACAACTATAACAGGAACATTACTTATATCTAGTTCGTTATAGTTATTTTAACATATAGCTTATATTTACATAACTGAATACGGTTTACATACATTATTGCTCGTTTTTTCATATATCATACTGTTTGTATCATTTTCATTATTTTAAACTTATCTATATGATATTACGCGTTGTATTTTAATTTTACATCATTATTGATCTTATTCTACGTTATTTCACGCTGTCCTCTACATGCACAAACTACGTAAAAAATGTTATTTTGGTGTATGTATCGTATTTATATTCATGCATGTAGTAAAAACGGTTATTTCAATATTACAAACAGACACTCCAATTATATTTATTTGCATAGATATATAGATTTCAGGCTACTAGACACATATTATAACTACCTTATAGACTAATATACATATGAATGAATATTATAAAACTAAGATATAGAAATATTGAAATTGTCTGTATGCTCATGGTTCTGACGACGGCAATCTGCCACGGTAGCTCCAATATACCACACCCTTCTATTCAGCCAGTAGTCCTCCTTCATAGAGTTGGTTGGTTGTGGTTGGTCTACCCGTCGCAGCTGTATGTACATATATCTAAACATATATAACTCAAAGGTGACTGACGTAGTGATCTATCAACGCACAGCCCAAACCACTGAACGGATCGGGCTGAAATTTGGCATGCAGGTAGATGTTATGACGTAGGCATCCGCTAAGAAAGGATTTTGATTAATTCTACCCCCAAGGGGATAATATAGGTGATGAAAATTTGTATGAAACTTTGTCAATTTTAAGCCGATCGTGCTGAGAGATTTGCATGCATAAAGCTACTATAACGTAGGCATCCCCTAAGAAAGGATTTTGATAAATTCCACCACTAAGGGCATAAATTAACGCGAGCGAAGCCGCGGGCAAAAGCTAGTTATACATATAAATCTTCCCCTTGAATGCCTCTATTTATTACTAAAACTGCGTAGTTTAATGTTCTGTGGTTATAGAAATATGTACGTTTTGAGCGATCCCTATATTTAATATGTATTGTATTGTTACAGTTCGACGAGTTCGTGCGATCACTTCAGGTGGACCCACAGTCGCCGCTGTTCAGGCTCGTCACAGACGGACAGACACCACTCAGGTACCTACATTCCGCTAAAATTGTTATTCTCTTATCTCTTACGATTATTCTATAAATCAGAGCCTTATATTATACTTCGTCTGCGCCTTATTTTCACAACTTTTGCAATATTTTTCATTGTAGCGCCTCTCCTATAGGTCGTAGCGTAATGTTATATAGCTTGAAGCCAGTTCGAACCAGTAGTTCATGATATTAGCGCGTTCAAACAAACAAACTCCTCAGCTTTGTAATATTAGTAAAGATATTAAAACTTTATAAATTCTAAGACACATCCTATTGACCTCTGTTCGGTCGTGTTTTATTCAACACCCAGGATAGAAATAGAAAACTAAAAATATTACATACATTTACATTTATTTACATGAATATTGTTGCAGCCAGTTTTGTTATCTGTCGATCGGAATAAATCGGAATCGTAAAAAACGGATGTAATCGGTATTCCAACATCCGGTACTGCAATTAGCAATTATATTGACCATAAATGTACGTATAAATAGCTGCTATAGATATAATACTAGTAAATAGTAATTATGTAGCTCCCCTCTGTTGGAACCACTGTCCCTTTCTACTGCAGCAATTACCTCCGTTTTTAACGTGAGTTTTTTTATTATTTTATAATTATCCCTATTCCTTACTAGTAGTATTATAAATGCGAAAGTAACTCTGTCTGTCTCGCTTTCACGCCAAAACAACTGAACCGATTTAAATGGAATTTGGTACAGAGATAGTCTAGACCATGCGAAAGGACATCGGCTACTTTTTAATGCGAAAAAAAAGTTGCAAGGGGTTGAAAGGGAAGATGAAAGGTTGTTTGGAAATATCGTCATTTTTAAAGTTACATTTTGAAACTTATTTTCTGTTGGCTGTTGATTAAATGAAAATAAATATGACAATCAAACTTTGTATTGACTTACAATGTTTTTTTCACATTAAACAGTAGCCTGTGTCAAATTTCATTTAAATTTTTTTGTAGTTTTGGCGTGAAATCGCGGCAGACAGACAGACAAAGTTACTTTCGTATATATGTAAATATATAAAATACAGCTAATAATGAAAGATAGGTAGATTTTTAGAGTATTTTAGGTTTATTAGAAAAATATATTAATTTCAAATCGAATGTAATTTATCTATAAATAGCTATCCGTCGCGGCTTCGTACGTGTGTACATGTATTATACATGTAAACCTGCCACTTGGATCACTCTTATTTTCTCTTATTTATTTTCCAAAATAAAACATAGATGCATATTACTCGCTGATAGGGTAATAATTTTATAAACGAAATAATTATTAAAATCAGTTATCATTTTAAAAACAAAAATATCAACTCTATTCTAATTCTACCTTATAATTATTTCACTAAATTTCTATCACAGAACACACTATCTATTTCTAAGTACATTAAAATACGTTGCGTAGATTAGAAGTAAGCGAACAGACACCGGAAGCGACTTTATTCTGTAATGTTACTAACAAACAAATCAAATGAAACTCAATATAGCTTTATGTTTTTTTTTTAAATACATTGTATCTATAATGTATTTCTCCACACAATTCAAGACCATACATAATTGAGGGCTACTAAATATTAATACGGTTGACAACAATGCTATTTCCCGCTCTTCAGGGGCAGTTCAAAGTTCGACGAACACAATTTCTGATATACATGTACATACATATATATGTAGCGTCGTTTGTTATTTTTGTGGTTTCGTAATTCATTATAATAATAAATTAACCTTTATCTAGTATCACTGGCTGTGTGTGAAAGACCTTCGTTTTTTATAATGCGTATAACATATGGAATTAATCCTGACTTCCTTACTAATATTATAAATGCGAAAGTAACTCTGTCTGTTTCGCTTTCACGCCAAAGCTACTGAACCGATATAAATGAAATTTGGTACACAGATAGTCTGGTCACTGAGAAAGGACATAGGCTACTTTTTAAAGCAAAAAAAATGTTGTAAGTGGTTGAAAGAGGAGGTGTAAGTTTGTACGGAAATATCGTCATTTTTAAAGCTAAAAACTTGAAACTTATTTTTTAGGCTGTTGTTTAAATGTAAATAAATGTGACGTTCAAAGTTTGTAAAAATATTATTACCCTTAAGGGGGAAAAGAAAATTTTTGAAGCTAAAACGATGAATCTATTTTCTTTGCCTTTTTTGGGCTGGAGTATTGAATATTTTTTATTTATTTGGTCAAGGTCACTATAACACGCGGACGAAGTCGCGGGCATACTTAGTCTATCTATACATTGAATATTTACGGTATCGACTTGTTGCCATGGAAGGTTTGCTCACCGTACGAAAATCGTCCTACAAGTACGAGATTGTTGACCTTCGGTACAAGGACATTACCATCCTAGTACTAGTGGGTACGAGATTTAGATGTACGTAAATCGGTCAAAATAAGATTGTTGCTGACGTGCTGGCCACATAGTGTTGTCGTCAGTCACAATATTGACTCGACACTAAGGTTCTATATACTAAAATATATAATACAATACAATATAGTAAAAAATACAATTTAAATATGAGATATAACACTTTATATATGGCCAGTACGTAGGCAACATATAGTTTACTCTACTTAACTGCTTCTAAGGATTCATTTACTTATTGAAAGCACTTTATTATTTAATTAGTATCTTTGACTATAAATTAATAAGTTTCTACAGCCTTTGTCTCATAAAATTCTATTGCCAATGTTTTTCGTTTCGACTTACGACAGTGTAAATATAGATTAAGATGCATGAGATGTATCATGGGCCCTAACTTGTTTTTTTTTTCGGACTACTCTAATGCTGTTGGCCGCAGCTGGGCTTTACAGCTTCACCGGACGTTAGGGGCGAGTGCAGATGGCACTCCAAACCCGCGGAAGGACTTATGGAGCGGCTGTAGGCCAACTCCTGCCTGACGGATACGACTTTAGTCTGAGGGCACCACGAGGGGTTCGAACCTCGGCTCAGGCCGTCGTAATTTCGATCCCCGTTTGAATTGGACGGGGGATCGATCGGAGGGGAAATAACTTGAGTGAAAATATAGGATAAGATGCATGAGTGGTATCACGGGCTTTAACTTAGGTGAAAATATTATAAATCTTGTATACAGAGTCATAATAAAGGTATCGTAGTATTTCATATTCAAACCTGAGAGAGAATCTCTGTCATTTGTAAGTATTCAACCATCTGCGAAGTACTTACGTACATGTTCATTATAAATGTCAATATGCAAATTTAGCATACAAAATACTAGATATACAAACACCAATTAGAGTCTACAGAAGAAAAAAGATAAACTGACGAACATGAATATGTTTGTGGAGGTAGTAGCTACTCGTGTATTATTTACGTAATTTTTTCTGGTCGATTACGCACTAGAGATGCAAACCGGGTCCGGCCATACGGGGCTCGGTGACCGGACTCAACCAGGCCGGGCCGGGCGGACCTGGCCGGATTCAAAAACATACCGAACTGCAATCTCTACTACGCACTGGTGTTGTTAAAAAAATACGCATTTTAAGTAAAAACACAACCGTTGTACAGGGGTGAAACAGAGACTAAATATTTTTAAATTCTCGCGTTTACTATAAATTATTAATATAAATTAATTAATAACCCTGTACAATGAATACTGTGTCATCTAGTCCCACGGTAAGCAGAGCTTGTGTTATGGGTACTAGACAACTGATATAAATACTTAGACTTGTTTTTTCGTAAATATAATACATACATATTACACATAGAAAACAACTAGGCCGATACAAACAATCATACTCATGAATACAAATGTTTGCACCGTGCGAGATATCAAACCCGCGACCATCTGAAGTAAAGCGGTAAACCACCTAGGCCGTCAATTGTTTATATGCACTTATAACGTATATTAATTCAGGAATATTATATTTACAGACAATGTCTTCACCCGGAGGCGTGCAGTAAGGACATCAATTTGCCGGTATACTACGCGCGCTTCCACGATCTGCGTAAGGAGTATGTGCGAGCATACACACTGCGCGCAGTCACACCCCCACGGGCGCAGGCGCCGCCACCACCCCCGCCCCCGGACCACCCCGGCTCATTAACGGATATGTTAAATTGTATCCTTTTATCAAATATATATTTAAACAGTTTAATATTTAACACGTTGAAGATCGCATTGAAAAATCTTATATCTCACATAGGGGCCATCATTTTTTATTATTAATGAAGTGTATTCTTTTTTAAATATGTTTTTAGTGTACAGTAATTTGAGGTAGACATTACCCACGGGTGATCACCCGGTCCCAATGTGTAAATTTACTTTCGTTGCGGAGTGACCCACCGGTGGGCATGCGGTCTCTAATAACCCGTTAGATGTTGATGAAACTTTACAGTAATATAAAGAAACTTGACAGCTTGGGCATCATAATAACACATAGTCTATATTTTATATTGAAATTCAATGCGAGTGAAACCGCGGGCACAGCTAACTTATAAAATATGAATATCCAATCAACAGAGTGCCAAATAAGTATTTAGGTATAAGAGACATGGATCGCCTGTTCCATTCCAATGGGGATCGAATATACGACAATCTGAGCAGAAGTTTGAACTCCTTTTTTATCGTGTGGATAAATATAGTTAAGAAAAAACCCACTACTAAATATTTGCTATTTCAGCTTTAGCTTAGATATATTACAATCTTTCTTTTCAAGTAGATAATGTTTATTTTATTATAAATTAAAAATAGTCTACTGTAAACGAGCTTCTCCTATACTGTAACTAAGTTTATACACTGCTATTGTCATCTTTTTTTATAGAACAAAATGTCGAATTATTAATTTAATTTGTACACTCCAGATTTGCATTTAATTATTTGCCATCAATTGTCACAAGAATAAATAATATATATTGTATTAACAAATAGAACAATACCTTCATAAATAATAATGGGATGATGTTTCGTAATGTTTTGTAATTATTAATCGTTAATAATAATTTTACAAAAAACAAGTATTTATATTAGTTTTGAATAGTCTGAATTACTTCGTAACAATGGTGCTGCTATATTTTAACGATCCATTAATTTTTATGCCCATTGTTTATTAAATAGGATTGCTCCAAAGAATCACAACTCAATTATATGCAACAAATGCAAATGAGACACTTTGGTTAGTTGAGAAAGAGTGTTTAAAATCGAGGTTCTGGAGATCAGGATCGTATGTATGTTTGTACTTATTGAATGAAATACAGTTTTGAAGTTACAACCTTATTTGATCTAAGTGGATAAAAATAATTACATATGTCTATAAGGTACGACAAAAACATATTAAGTGCGCGTTTTAAAATTTACATGAAAAAATACAGCGCCATCTAATTGTAGTATGAAACAATATTAACTCGAATAAGAGAGTTTCTATCCACGTCTTTTTAATCCACTGAGGTCTATAAATTATTGTAAAAATGCTAATTAGGTAGCTAAAGACCCATTTCTGGCAATCCATGTCAGTCGACCCCTGCGCAATCCTCCTAGAAACTGACATGCTTAATTATTTCCTTGTGTATTCGCCATAATGAGCTGAGGGACCTGAACTTTTGTCTGACTTAAACCACATCAAACAATCCTCATATGGATGCACCATTCAATAAAATTCTGCCTTATTTCAGCAAAAGCCTTATACAAAATAATTATATTGTTTTTAATAATATACATAGTTTTAAATGATTTAAAATTAATAACTTTTAAATATCGATTTAAAAGTTAAAAAATCAAAGTTAGAAAATCAAATCTTGCGTTTTCATAGTATCGACTATGAAAACGCAAGATTTGATTTTCTATTCCTAATTAAGAAACTTAAAATTCACATATAAAATTTTATCACCTCTAGACATCTACATGATCAGCAAGTAAGTTGGGCCGAAATTTTATTTAAAAAATAATGAGGACTCTTCAAAAATTGCACCCGCACATAGTAAGAGCCCGACGCTATTTAGTTTGAAAATCGTACAACTCGAAATAACTTAGAGCTAATAAAACTATAAGTTATTTAACATTATATACATATGGCAAACCTCAGCACAACAAAAATCTGCAGATTTTGCCAAACTGAAGAGGAAACGCCACTCCACATCCTATATGGTTGTAGACCATCCATGCATAAACGAAATATCTCCTTTAGAAAGTTTACACTCATTCCTGAGTAGATAAAAACCATCGCCCCTAAGAATATCCTTCAATTCTTATCCTTGACGGGTCTAACTTTAATCTCACACAGATCTCACAATAGATCTATGCAGGTCGCAGTGTTACACCTCCATACACATGACAATAGCCCAAACTACCCAATAAAAATAAAAAAATAATTACATTCATTATTGTTTAGAATATGCATCCTAACTACATTTTATTCAGATTTAGGTATAACACCGTACAGCGGTGAGAATTTCTACGCGGCAGAAGTGAAAGACATGGCCAGTATCATACAAAGGATATACACAGATGGTAAGCATGTTTATTTAATCATCATCTTTGATGGCTACGGTGGTCCAGCAGTTTAGCACACCGCAATGGTCGCGGGTTCGATTCCTCGCACGTTGCAAGCATTTGTATTCATGATTGTATTGATTGTTTGTATCGGTCTGGATCTTTTCTATGTATTATAATGTATGTATTTACTATGTTATTTACCGAAAAAAAATTTATATATCCTATAACACAAGTTCTGCTTACCGATGGCGTTGTGCTAATTGTCCAGGGTTATTTTTTTTATTTATTATATATAAATAAAATACTATACTTATTACATAGTATAAAATAAAATCGCTTTCGCTATCCGTTCGCTTAGATCTTTTAATCTACGCAACAGATTTTAATTCAGTTTATAGCATTAGATTGAGCGATTCAACAGAAAGGTTTTTATGTATAATATACACCTGTGCGAAACCGGGGCGGGTTTGCTAGCTAGCTAGTTTTAAAAACATTACTGAAACTGTGTTTTTTGGGTGTTATCAATTCATTGCACGGCTTTCAATCAATTTGATTTAATCAAATGATTGGGTCACGATTAAAATACCTATTCTTGGCGTTCTTGACAACTTACCGAAGCTAGACTGTAAAATATCGTTGACGTCTACCACCACCCTTAGTCTTGCTTATTATTTATTTTATATAACACTAATCGCACGCCCTACACTTTTTTTTGCTTGTATAATTTACGTTTTAAACAGTGAAAGAATTTCTCAATTCAGTGCAATAGTTCCAGAGTATACTTCCCTTATCTATATTAATAACATTTTTATAGATATAAATCTGTTCAATTAAAAACATTTTTTTTTCAGGTTTCCGGTTAGAGTTACCAGAAAATGTGGACTTAGTTTTAGAAACTGGAATTTGGTGAGTAGACATTTTTTTATATTTATACCTAACATACCTAGTATATTGACATAATTAAACCGTTCATTCTAAATATGCAATTTTGAAAAAAATTTGCAATGGACTTAAAAAAGGTCTTGGATTAAAACTTCCTCTTGGACGCCTGTTCAAAATGTAACGGCAACAAAACAACTACAGGCTCATTAAGTATGAAGCTTTGTCACCTCAAGTCATTAAGAGTTTATGGTTATAAAATTTAAAAATGTTTGTACATTTTTGTGTTGATTATAGTACAAAATTATACAGTTTAAGTTATAGGTTAGACACATACTTTAAAGTTTTAAACATTATATGAAAGATTAATAAAGAAAATCATTAAAAGTTTCGAAGAAAATCAACATGAGGTCTTTATTAGATAAATTTACAAAAAAATACACTTTACAACACTTTCTTTTGTGAAAAAAAACGCTACCAATCGCAATGATATTGGACCATGACGCATATGTAACGTTGAGTATATAGATTAAAAAATAAAGATTTAAATCTAAATTAACAAAGATAATGTAATATGATGTCGACCATTTTTCTATAAAAACTCATTGGTCAAACACCAGGAACGAAAGCAAAAAGTAATATTATAGAAACATGCATATAATTTTAAAATAACCTGCATGTTATAAAAACAAGAACTTAGCAAACTCAAGGCGAGGCACTCCAAACATACGAGTAAGGAGAAATTTAACGCGTCACTCGACACCACGGTCTTTGCTCAAATGCTGACAAACAAAACAGTCCCCTGTACCAATAAACTTTTGTAGATTGAGTGTATCGCATTGTACTACATTGATTAACAATTATAGGTGGAAATTTTACGATAATCTTTATTTAAATGAACTTAATACACCATAGACTACTAGATGACCCGCGCAACTTGAACTGCCTCAATATTCCTGCGTTTTTGGAACGATTTTCATTGCAGCTCCGTTTGTAGGAGACATTAAAAGAAATTTTATAATCAGATAAGTAATACCGCACATTATCTTGACCGTCACTACAGTTATGAACTTAATCTCTTTATAAAATTTGCGAAAATTGAATAGTGATGTTTAGTGTCTATTAACATCATATATTCGATATGTAGAGCCAAGTAGAATGACGAGAAATTTGGCTGGTGCTCTTTTCAAGCAAATTTTGTACTATAAGACCCCGCTTAATGTTGTTTCGGTTTAGCGCGCCTTTATTTCAACCCGGGGATTGATCATAACGGATAAACGTCGAGGAAATAGTTGAAGAAACAGCAGCTAGTCTCTCTAATAAGGAATTAACTGAGCAAGAAGAAAACAAAAATATTGATAGTAATGAAAATATTGATAGGAACGCTGTTCCGTTTAACGCTGGAACTTATTGGAACGTACCCCCCGCATTAAGTAGGGTCTTACTGTACATATTTAAAATTTTGTGTGAATACAAACAACATCTTAAGAGCAAACTTAGTTATTTATTTATTTAAACTTTATTGCATTTGTACAATAGGCGGGCTTAATGCTATTAGCATTCTCTACCAGCCAACCTTAATATTTATTCAAATATATTTGCGAATAAATTTTGAAATATCATATGTTAGAAAGAAATTTTATTGTATAATAATATTTCTTGATTACAGCTCAATATTCCTGTTAAAATTGACTTGAAATTTGTAACCAACGAGTAATTGTGTTAATTCCTATATGGTACAAACTGATAATATGTACAAATCAATAATTGATTGGACGATCCCATCTACTTCCAACTATATACCTTCATTTTAATCTTACAGATAGGTATGTACCTATGATTACAGCTAAAAGCGTTTTGAAAAGTAAAACAAATCAATTTGCTTATAAGCAGTAGATATTTCAAATAGATATTTGATTTATAAATTCTGCGATAAGATATGTAATAAATTGGGTAATCATAATCCAAATATCCGTAATCTGATAGTAATTTGTTACTGTCACTCGGATAAAGTGGGTCTATTTATATATAATGTGTTAATTTATATAAGTTCAACAATTAATTTATTAGTCACACCATACACTGACGTGTATCATATTGTTTATGTCCTATAAGATCTACTACATTCATAGATTTTTTTTGTTCGTAAACCACTTGCAGATTATGCAATAGTTGTTAAAAAATGATTCCGGATTACAGTTTTTTTTTGCAAAACTGACCTTTATCCAGATCATCATGTGACGATTGTGGTATCTCTCGAATGGTAAATATTTTTATCGAACTATTCTAATGCTGTTGGCTGCAGCTGGACTTTATGGTACAGTTTCACCGAACGATAGGGGACGGGTGAAGATGGCACTCCAAACCCGCAAAAGGACTTATTGAGCGGCTCAAGGCTAACTCCCGGCTGACGGATACGACTTTAGTCTGAGGGTATCGTGAAGGGTTCTAGCCTCGGCGGTGTTTAAATTGGACTGAGGATCGATCGTAGGGACGCTGCTAATGACAACCTTCCCAGCCCAAAACCCTCAATAACAAAACTATCGCCTACAACATATATATCTACATAAGGGGTGCCACGGACATCATGTTATTATGTGACGCCCTTTAGGCGTTGCTATTTCGGTGGAGTATGATGCCGTACTTACATACTCTGGAATTTCAGTCATATATTACATTTCAACCCAAACACAGCTCACAAAGAAACTGCTTTGAGCCTGCCTGAAATGGATAAAGACAAAGATAACCATATAGAACCCATATAGGCTTGGTTGTACCTAGTCTACCTCTGGTAAAAGTTTCTAGTTAATCAACTCAGTTTCTAGCAATTCTTACTTTTTTAGCAGGTCTACAGACAGATAACCTTTCTTTCCTTAGAAATGTCTTTCATCTTAATAAAATTATTGCACTATTCGCAAATCGGCGAATCTCATCAGTCAGAGCACTACGAGGGTAATATGAAATATGACCTGCGTAACGTAATTTGACCCCCCGGATATATTTGTTGTTTTTTTCTACATTATCCGATTATAGAAAGGTAATTATAGGAAGATAACGCGAAGTAATCTGTGAAGGCTTTTGCGTGGACTTCTCTACTGATAACATAAAATGCAATTATCTGGTAATTTAATTTTTATTTGTGTAGCAATATGATTGGTTTTTCTTTGGTTTATAATTTGTAATAGTATTGATAGATTGAATTGATTTGTCAGTCACCTCAGTCTTTAACGTCACTGCATTAATGTGATGCCAAATTCAATCTGCGGTAAAGAAATTTTCTAAATTGTTTTTACAATAGGAAAATCCAAGATTTTGAGACGACTTACAATGTACATTAAATGATAGCAGATTTTATAATATCTTCCCAAAATGTACAATCTTTATAAGATTGTATAATTATAGTGGCACTTAATGGATTTATATTATTAGTGAAATGGAATTCCTCAAAATAACACCTAATTCGATTAAATATAATTGTAGTGGCTTTTTCAATGACATCTAAAACGAATATTAATATTTTATAGGCACTTTATTAACATGTTCTTACAGTTTACGGGCTCATATCTAAATGGTAGAAATTTTATGGTCTAAATTTTTTTGTAAAACACACAATAGATAGAAGTAATGACTCTTTTAATTATTAAGTTATCTCAAAGTGACGAAATAAATAATTTTACTATTGGCCGTACGTTTTCTAAAATATCCCTATTCACGTGATTGTGATGATGATTCAAGAATGTTTCTTCAAGAATGTTGATGAATCAACTAATGGGTTAATGTCATATTTTGATATTAAATAGTATTGTAAAATGATTCATTCTTCTGAATCTGTACATTGTTAACTTGAAATACCTACGTGTATTGTCGAATTCATACGATATGACGTGGAGTATCATTTAACTAAAGATTAACAGTATGAGGGATTAGTATGAAAAGAGTGTAAATTCAAGTGTGACGATGGATAGAGGTTAATGGCAGATAAAGTCATTACGCAGACCCAAAATAATGGAACAAGGCAAAGCCGATGACACCATGTTTGGATTCCTGTTTTCAATAAGGATATATTTTCGATATATATGTTGGTACTTGGTTTTGTATTTACTAAAAACGTAGTACAACAATTAAAGACTTTTTATTTTTTAATGATGATAATGATGCACCAGTCTGCGGTAACTGCTTACCCTAGAATGATAAGAGGAGCATGAGGTCAGGTTAGTCCATCTTGGCAAATGACAATTTACCACGATGGTTTCCAGGGGGATCTGCGTGGAGGTCAACCTGACATGGTATATTGCTAACAATTAGCCGTTATTACTAACAATGCTCTTTCTCCCATTAAAAAGGCAGAAATAATGCAATTAGAAGAAGAAATGTATTATTTGCATAACAACAACTTAACAGTAACTTATCAAAGTTCGATAGTACAGGGTAATATAGACTCGGGCGTGCAAACGTACAACGTGCGACTCAAGACTCCGCGCTGACACTTTGCTACCAACAAACGGTCGCGACGGACGTGTACCGGACTGGATACGAACGAAAATAAAACCTTATCTTGTGTTGGAACGTCTTGGTTGTGTTATAAAAATCGTGCACCCGCGATAACACTTGAAACGGGCTAGTGTTGGTTTAGTGATACGCTTTCGGGACCCCGCTTTATCACCACTCGGCAGCAACTTAAGATAACGAGGTGAGTGGGCGCTGATAGCTTTTGATAATTAGTTTAACTTGTTCTATACATGTCCCACCGGAAAATTACAGCCTATGTGTCTACTGGTACATACACAGTCTTTGTAATTTTCCTGTAATCCCCATTTTACTGAGGTACACTTTGGTCAAAGTCCTCTACGTGGGCACTTTTGTCTCCCCATCAAAAGGCTTGCTTTGAAAATAACCCTTGATAATTAACACGGCGCCATCTAAACCCACTGTAAGCAGAACTTGTGTAATGGGTCTAGACCGCTGAGATAAATACTTTGATTGTTTTTTGTAAATACATTACAATACAATTTTTGTAAATGCATAAT